GCAAAGTTCCATTTTATAATTCGTTGTCCTTGTCATTGGTAGTGAATGTTTAAGTACCAGACCTGTCTCAATTTTGGCACTATAGGTTTAAAGCTGTTGCAGCTAAGAGCAAACTGGACCTTGTAAACCAGGGCTTCACTGAGTTCACTATCGAGGACTTTCACAACACTGTGAGTTGATAATTGTATCAGTTAAAAACTATGCCCAATTGACATGCCTTCTTAATTTTAGAACTCAACACTTAAAGGGTAAGTTGTATTGTTACAATGTCAGTAGTATATAGCTTTGAGTCCGAGTCCGTAACCAATTAAGTTTGAGTGGAAGATTATTATTAATGTCTTGTCATCTTAATTTAATGATCTTTCACATAACGCATGAATTTGACTGTAATTTTAAAAAAAAAGTCCAAAATGTCCAAGTTCATGTCAAGTATGAGTACAAGTACCCCAACTCTCATAGTATAAGTAACTGAACAATGTGTTTTATGTTTCCGAGTTACCAGGACCAAGACATCCCTGTGTATTTTTTTGTGTAGATGTAAAATGCATCATCTAGCAGACTTTTGACAGCTCCAGAGATTTTGTGAAAACTACAGATCATACTTCCGCATTTTTGTATCCCTGCTCACAAATAGTCTGATCGACTATGCCCCAGTGCTGCATTATGGGTGTTTAAGTTTTTGTACATTTTTTCACCACAGCCGTTTTTCTGTTTTCTGTAGATTAAAAAAAATAAAAAAATTCTACTGCATACACAGCCAACTTTTATCTTTTACTTTGTAAGCAGTGAATTACCCCTTCAAGTCCTGTAATTGTACATTAAAATTACGCTCACTGTGGTTTCTCTCTTTTGTCAGTTCATGGACTTGATTGAGCTGTGTGAAAAGCAGCAATCACTTGGTGAACTGCTGAGCTCCTTCAATGACCAGAGCGTGTCTGACTACATAGTGGTTTACCTGAGGCTTCTCACTTCTGGATACCTGCAGCGGGAGCATGTATTCTTTAAGCACTTCATAGAGGGCAGCCGTTCTGTCAAAGAGTTTTGCCAGCAGGTGAGTGCCACCTAAGAGTATTACTTGTGAACTGGTTGGTCTAAGACTATGGGAAAAATGTAAGTCAAAAAAAACAAAAACCTTCTAATCATCCATGTTTTGCTTTTTAGGAGGTGGAACCCATGTCGAAAGAGAGCGACCACATCCATATCATTGCCTTGGCAAAAGCACTGAATGTGCCCATATTAGTGGAATACATGGACAGAGGAGAGGGTGGAACAGTGAACAATCATGTCTTCCCTGAAGGAAGTGAGCCACGCATCTTCCTGCTCTACCGCCCAGGCCACTATGACATCCTGTATAAGTGATACTCTGTATATTCTGTGGTTCCATTGTGAAGAAACCATCCCAGTTCTACAGCCAAGTTGAGTCATACATGTGTATGCTATGCTATGATTAATCTTAATAAAGTTTTCACTTCAGTTCTCCCTACATTACAAAATGAATGATTTTTTTTTTCAGTGCAAACAGAACTTGAAGCTCTTAATCTCTTAAAAACTGACTCTGCATCAAACTGCAGCATTACGGTTGTACAGTAGGTTTTTTGTGGTTGTAAATGTTATCAACTTGCTTTTAGTGTTTTTCTTTTGTTACACTGCCTTTCATGAGTTTTATTAAAGGGATTTACACCTCACTTGACTGAAGTCTGTTTGTGGTTTCAGAAATCATTTTACAATTCAGAAGTGGATCCAAACCAGTAACAAGAAAAGAATGAACCAGCATTACGTAAATTGGTTTTAATCTCAGACAGCACAATGACTTAAGTGCTCAATTTACATTCATTTACCCAACAAACTACACCTTGAGCAGATTGATGGCTACTTAAAGTAGGTTTGGGTAAAAAGTATAATAATCATCATCATTTTTTTTTTTTTGTAATCGCTCCCTTGCGCCTCAGTGTTCGTCACTTCTGAGCGGCGCATGCGCAAAGCCGACCTCATACATCATCCGCCCGGAACTGCTTCCG